TTGATATCTGCTTACTGTTTTGGCTGCAGTTCAGAGCCGTGTTGTCACTCTGATTACTGGTCCGCCTTTGATCTCTCTATCCTGAGTCATTCATTTTCAACGTCTTTGTCACTCACACATGTGATTTATGAGTAGCACACTCACATAAAATATACGACACAAACATCAAAATGCAAAACCCATGTACAGTATAAACACACAAATAGCTTTTGAATGCCTTTTAGTTCATGAAAAATTTAAATCATTGATGTTAAAAGTGATTGATTCTCTTTGTAAAGTTTTGGGACAAAACTAATTTCCACACAGTTACAAAAACAATTTCCAGCGCTTTGAAATTCCTCTGATTAATGTGTTTATTTCAGTAGAAAAATGGGACTTTCAGTAAAATAACATCTGATGTATTCTGCTCAGTGGCTCCTTGGTGCTCTCTGGTCAACATCGGATGATTGATCATTCAAAGGGGATTTTGAGAAAAACAATAAACGTTGGATACGCTGGTTTACCGTCATTCCTTTGAGCTAAAGTAATGGTTTATACAGGGAGAATGATGATTTGTGGAGAGAAAAGTAAAAATTCCTAAAATGTGAAATCTGCCAGGTCTTTGCTCAGTTGCATTAGAATTAGCACACTTATGGATCAATTTTAACTTGATTGCTATGAATCCTCTAAAGACTTCTACTCGCAAAATGACACATTTATGCCAAGCAGCCAAATTCCCTTTCATTCTTGTATTAAGTCTTGGATAGAGGTATGAAAACATTTAAATGTCCTATTCTGAATGTCAAACCAGGAAAGTATGCTTTGCCTAATGAGTAATCACTTAAGCTGACCCTCTAGCTTTCTCTAATGACAGACTTATACAGTTTGAAATTTATCTTGGGTAATCGGGGGGAAAGTCCCCTCATGACCACCTTTGAGTAAATGTTGTCAGTCAATCTCTGATTCATTAGCCCTGAGAAAACTGGACTCAGAAACACTCATCATGTAAAACATGCAGAGGAATACCGAGTGAATGAGAGACGCCTGTATGCCCGTTTCTCCCTCTATTTCCTTTTCTTCCCTCAATCCTTTTTCTCTTTTAATTTGGCCCCCTTGGTTTGTTTTTCTTCATTCTTTCATTAGTTGAAAAAACATAGCAGGCATTCCAGCTGTAATACCACTGAGATTCAGTATCAGTGTGGGGATTCGGACTCGTGTGTGTCAGCGGCTAACAGACACAGAGAGAGAGAGAG